ATGGCTTCCTCCTCACTCAGGCTTCTACAGGTCTGCCACTGCCTGTCGCCACTGCCTGTCTTCCCTGCTCCAGCCGGGGACAGAGTGGCGGGCCAGGAGATGGGCCCTGCCTCACAGAGCTCACGAGGGCCCAGATTCCGGAACTTGGCAGTGGGGATGGGGGGAGATCCCATGTCAGAACACGGTCCCAGAGTCGAGGGCCTGCTGCCCAGACCCGGGCTGTGGGCCAGAACCAGGCTCAGCCTCCCTGGGAACTGCTGCTGAGGAAGGCCAGGAGGCACCATCTGCAGCTCCCCAAAAGGATGAGGCCTCACTCATTTCTACAGGCGGAGATGGGTCAGCACCTCCACTCACCAGGGAAATCGTGACCACTGTGTGGGTTCCTGCAGCTCACCCAGGGCGGCGGGCAGGGCCCCCCACAGTGGGGACAGGCAGCCGCAGGGAGATCACCCAACCCAGCCCAGAGCTGGGCCTCTCCAACTCACGAGGGCAGAAAGCAGGGGCACACGAAGCCCCAGGAAGCACCTGCAGGCACTGGAAGGATCCACGCCACCCAGGACACAAAGGTAACCACGCCTGCCGCCCACCAGGGTAGTCCCAGCTACACCGGAAATGTACCCAGTGCAACCGAGGAACCGAACTGATGGAAATTCGTGTAAATGTAAGATGAAGCAGTATAAAATTTTTTTCCATCAAACACAACTTTATCTTCTGTGTTTAATTTCATCTGTTGAAACATTAGCATCTGATCTGAGCTGTGATTTGGAAGGCTTAGCATGAAGGAAAATGGAAGGTATCTCTTATATAATGATAGCATCTATTATTCTATTTTATTGAAATGAGCATATTTAGGATAGATTGGTTTGAACAAGTTATTAAAATTAGTTTTATGCATTTTCTTTTATTTTGAAAATGTGGTTCCTGGAGGTCCAGCCATGGTAGCACACACTGCCCGGGAGGTCAGAAGCTGCACCACAGACCCGGGTTCAGTTCCTGGGCCAACCTGAATGCACAGGGCACAGGGAGGGTCACAACATGGCAGGAACCTGTCAAAAATGCCTATCTTGGGCAAGCAGGCAGTGTGGTGGTTAAGGTGCTGGATCCCATGTGGCTGACTGGGCAGTTCAAGTCCTGGACCTGGTGGTTGGAAAAACACACCAGGGTGCTTGTGTGTGCATGCCCAAAATCTCAAGAGAAGAGAGGAGAAGGGATTGTGGTGTGGCCATCCTCCCAAAGTGGTGATGGGGAGGTGATTTCTCACTTCTCTCTCTCTGTCCCTCTCCAGTGAGCGCATACGCCCTATGGCAAAAGTCTTTTTTATAAAAATGCCTATCTCGGCCCAGCCCGGGTAGCAGTGACAGTCTACCAGACAGTGCTGGAAGCCCCGTGGCCGACTGCCCGACCCAAGGCCCTGAGAAACTAGAGGGCTAGAGAAAGGGGTCATGGCATCAAGAGACCGTCAGGGCTACTTCTCTCCCCTTCTCTTGCATGCATGCACATACTTCCTATGATGGACAAAATAAAGCTTTTTGAAAAGCCCTGTCCACCTCTCTCCCTCTGCCCACGCCCCCTGGCTCCTAAAGGAAAAACATGTGGCTATTAGGCAAACTTGGTTGTGCCAGTGGCTCGCGTGGTATCTATGCTAGAAGACGCCGCTCTAGAGTTGTGCCATGCAGTACGGCCCCCGCCATGTGGCTACCTAAATTTAACTTGATTATAGTGAAATGAAACAAAACTCAGCCCTTCGGAAGCACTATCCCCGTCTCAAGTGCCACTTGCCACATGGGGCTGGTGAGCACCTACTTGGACAGCACAGAGACAGAACACTGCCTTTGCTCCTGAAGTCCCATAGGCCAGCCCTGCCCCGGAGGTCAGGAGGAAACAGGAGTTGGGGTCTCGCTATGCTGCCCAGGCCAGCCTCACACACAGCCCTCTCCCAGCCTCCCAGGTAGCTGGGACTCTGAGTGCATGCCACTGCGCCTGGCGCAAGAAAACAACTTCACGTGCATTTCTAAGGCATAGCAAAGATTTTCTTGAAGCCTCACACATAAGCTGGCCCTCCATCCCCCAAGAGACACACACACGGAGCAGGTCCTAGATGCCCTCCACCCCGGGTTCTGCCACTCCCCTGTACCACGATTTCCTAACCAGCTCACGAAACCCGCCGTGAATGACTCTCCCGTTGATTTGGTGTCATCCCCAGTCATAATTCCCATGACATGGCATTCCGGGCTGGATACGTATTTTTACTACTTCACATAAACATATCACTATTTTAAAAAAAAATTGCGGGAGGGGGCATGCATTTGTGGGAGTGGGAGAAAGTGAGGAAGCACCCCTCCCCATAAGGGATGGCCATGGGGGACAGTTCTCCCTCCTTTCTCCCTCCTTTCAGGATTTTGGGCACACATGCACACACTCACCAAGTGTGTTGTTCAAGCCACGGTGTCAGGGACTTGAACCACACAGCCATGTGGGATCCAGCTGCCTTAACCGCCATGCCACCTGGCTGCCCCAAATAAGCACAGAATACTAAAATAAAAACCATCGGCCCTAAATTGGCCCACTTCCCCTTTCCGTTCTGCCAGTATCCTGCCCAGGGGCCAATTCTGTGGCTGTTCTTGCATCATGTCTCTGGAAGCCAGGCTCGCCCTCCTCCCCTTGGACATGGGAGAAGCCGTGGTGCCTGGCCCCTGGGCAGCCTGGGGGTCATCAGAGGCAACCCTCACACATAGGTGTGAAGGGGAGGGAGAAGGTGGTAGAGAAAGCCCTGGAGCAGGCAGCAGGTGTAGAGGCAGGTCTGAGTGGACAGCCCAGGAGGGCTGACGAGGTCACCCAGTGGCAAGAGATCAGAGAGAGCCTGGATCTCAGGGCGGAGAAGGAAAAGGGCAGAAGCGGCAGTCAGAAATGCTCAGGACTTCGCACAGCAGGACCTGAAGAGAACTGTGGGTGTGGAATGCCCTGGGCCAGGGCCAGAGCCCAGCAGAGCAGACACAAGTACCTGGCCCTGATGGCGCAGCTACTCCAGGCTCAGAGCAGGTTGGGCTGTGACCTGCACGCGTCCCCTTTAACAAGAAGCAGCAGAAGGTCCCTGCACTGGGAATCGGCACATCCCTAACTTCTGTCTCTCCAGCCTCCTTTCCTCTGCGGCAATGACCAACTACGACTGCAGTTCTTGTGAAGATCTGATACTACCTGTCGCTCCCTAAGGGCCCCGCCTTTCTTCCTCCCATCCTCTGTGTCTCCTCCAGGAAGTTCCCCTTGCCCTCCGCCTGAGTCCCCTCTGCATGCAGGTCAGCCAGCCCTCCCCAAGCTGCCGGCATCCCCTCCCACCCAGCCCTGCACTCTAACTACTTAGTGCAGCTGCTTTCCCACCTGAATCTGCCAAGGCTCTCCATCCCTGAGCCCAGGACAGGCTGGCCGGAGCTGCTAACTACTTGGGCAGCTGAGTGAGGGGGAGGGAACGCGCGTGCATTGGGTCTGAGGCTCTGCGGGGATACCCGGAGGCAGAGGATCCCCAACAGTGGCGGAGCTCAGGAGGGAATGCAGGCCTGGGGAAGATCTGGCAGGTCAGCGGTGTCAGTGTCTCCATCTCTGGGTTGGGACTTCCTGGGGGCCCCAATGAGGGAGGCTTGTTCAGGAAATGACTTCCGGGATGAAGAAGGACCCAAGACTCCGCTCCACGAGCAAGGCTGAACACTCTAGAGGAGGCAAGCCTGAGGAAGAATGCGACCTTCCAGGGCTGAACCTGGACACAGAGAGCGGAATGTCCTGCAAGGCCTCAGGGACAGAGCCAGGAAAGGTCACTGAATACATCAGGAGGCCGCCTTGGGCTGGAGCCAGGGAACAAAGGTGGAGTGGCCTGCTTCAGGAAGAGCAAGAGGCTGCAGGGAGGGCTGGTCCTCCACCTGGACCTCAGGGACCCACGGCAGGGGATGGGGGCTGGGGCAGGTGACCCCTCAGACCCAGCCTGGGAGTCGAGGCCGGCAGAACAACCTGGCTATTCCAGAGCCTGGACCACGCCTGGGGAGAGCTGCCCTCGCCTCTGAGCATCACCCTGGGACAGGTCCTGACTGTGAGCAGCTCTGGCTTTCAGAACACATGAGCACTCTCAAAGGCTTCACTGACTCTGGGCAGAAGAGATGCGGCCACCAGAGGTGGTGCTTTCGGGATGCTGACAGTGTACCTGCCGAACCAGAAGGTTCTGCAGTCAGCTGTTCTGGGATTCCCGCCTGCAGCCTTAGTGCCTCGGATATCCCAGCATGCCCTGTGCGGCTTTAACGAGGGACGGAGGGAGGGCGTCTACAGCGTTTCTCACTGCCCCATGACGCACCCCTGAACTAGCCACTCACAAACAACGGGGAGAGGCTGGGAGAAAGGAAAGACCTTGGTCAGGAGGCTGGAGGGAACTTTGCCCCACTTTGCCAAAAACACTCCGGGGGAGCTTGGAAAGTGGCCTTCCTCTGGGCCTCGGTCTCCCCATGTGTAAACGTGAGTGCCTTCCCTGTCATGAAGCAAGAAGCCCCACAAAGTGAGAAACCATAACCACAGCCCTGTGCCCCAAACTCCCAGGTGAAGGTGTTAGACCCCAAAGGTAAATGACTTCCTTTTCTCTAAGACAAAGGCCAGGCCAGAGGCCTCCTCTCTGCAGCAGGCCCAGTGAGGTGGTTCCTCCACTCCACAATGGGCTTCTCCCAGCCAGCGCCCCGCAGGGAGCTCCAGGGAGGACGTGGGTGCGAGGGGAGAGGATTCTGCGTTCAAGACAGGGTTGGCGAGCAGAGCAAGCCCAGGCTGTGGCCAGGAGGGGATGGGACGGAAGGGGAGATAGGAGGGAGGAGGAGACCTGGGCTCTCAGGGAAGAGGCTGGAACTTTTAGGGCCCTGAGGTCTAGGATGAGGGTGTAGAAGTCTCAGGGCTGGAGTTCTGGGCAAGGGAGTGTAAGGAATGGGGGGTGAGGGCCAGGTTGCCCTGGGGGACAGTTGAGACCTGGATGCGATATTGCAGACAGGAGCCAGCTGTCTCCTGCCTGTTTGTCGCCCACCTCGCCCCTAGGAAGGGCCTACCGCCGGGCCTGCTTGCACACAGGCCTGTCCCTAGGACCTGCAGGGCAGCCGGGTGTCCTGACCCGCCAGTCTGCGGGGCGCCCTCACCTCCACCAGCGGGTAGGCGATCTCGTTGTAGATCTGCTCCGTGACATGGTCTGTGTAGTAGGCGCCGTCGAAGGTGAACTGCTTGGGGGGCTCGTCCGCGGCACCCGGGTTCTGGATGAAGCACTGGCCGCGCGCACAGTCCACCGTCACCACCGGCTGGCACTTCAGCTCCCGCTCCCGCTGGTTCATGGGGCGGCAGCGCACCACCACCTTCACCGCCTCGGAGGCCATG